TAGAGTAACGGAGGGGGTGATGGGGTGGTTAGCGTAAGGTGTTCCTGCTGTCGAGTGCGGGCCTCACGGCCCTCACCACCTTCAGTGCGCTCGTGTTCGCTTGGCATCGGCTTGAAGGAGAGGATTGTGACACGAGGAGTCCCACCACCCTGCGCCCCTTCAGCCTTGCCCCTGCCATGTCGGCGAGCCCCCTAATATCGATCGTACAACACTAGTAGTCCGCTTCGTAGCACCTCTAGGTTCAACCGAGGCTTCGCAGGGGATGTTATGGATCCCACTTCACGCATACGCTCGGTCAACATTGGCGATAGTAACAACAACTGTGGCAACATATCGGACAGTTTCAACAACAAATTTACCATCATCGCGGACGATGAGAAGCCGGATATTCTCCGGTGGCTCTCACCACTAGAGCCACAAAACAGACATCAGGGAGTGCGTGCCAACCGGCATGAGAACGTCGGTAATTGGCTTCTGGAGGCTAGCGAGTTCCGGAAGTGGAGAGATGGGGACGGGAGAGGGGATAAGGCTGTCTGCTGGTGCTACGGGGAACCGGGAGTGGGGAAGACATACCTGAGGTAAGTGGTGGGACTCTTTGAAAGGTGCGAATATCCCTAATGACTAGCAATACAGCTCCCTTGTGATCGACAGCCTATGCGATCAGGCAAGGAAGGAAACGAAGGAAAACATTGTCGTTGCGTGTTTGTACTGCGACTACAATGATCAGTATGAGCAGACAACCGCCAATATGGTGGGTGCGATATTGAAGCAGCTGGTGGTCAGGGACGGCAAAGTTCTGGAATCGGTACGGGAAGAGTTCCTGAGGGCGAGAAACGAGTGTGGTGGTCGAGGTCTGCTACGCCAGGATCTTGTCAGAATTCTCAAGGAGTCAATTGCCCTGGCATCCCGGGTTTTTATTTGCGTTGATGCTCTTGATGAGCTTGTGTTGAAGGAGCTCCCGGAGCTTCTCGTGCTGCTCGGAGGCATTGTTCAGGAGCTACCAAGCGTGCGGGTGTTCCTCACTGGGAGGCTTAGTGTTCGGGCCCGGATCGCAGAATATTTCCCCGGGGCGGTTGCGATCCTTATCAGTCCTAAACCACGCGACCTCGAAAATTACCTGGAGTGGAAGTTCAAGATGGCGGGGCCTGTGGAGATGAAGGAGAATTTACGGGCAGAAATTCTGAGGGTTGTTCGAGGCAGCTTATCCGAATCGTTCGTTGAGCATCAACACTTCACCCTACATGCATGGTCGTTTGCTTACTAACAATTGCGCGCAGGTTCCTTCTTGTTTCGCTAAGCATTGATGCTATTCTGGAGGAGGTGACTGTCGCCGATAGAAAAAAAAAAACTGAGCGAGATGGAACATGGCAACGGTTTAGAAGATGCCTACACAGTTACCCTAAAACGGATGGAGGCGCAGAAAGGTCGTGGACCAGAACTCGGAAAGAAAGCCTTAATGTGGGTAGCGTTTTCGGAGCGGCCATTACAAAAAAACGAGTTATTCCATGCGCTAGGGGTAGAAATAGGCCTTGCAGATCTGGACCCGGACAGCGTTCCTACGGAAGCGACACTCATACAGTGCGCTCTTGGGCTCATAACGTTTGAGAAATCTTCAACCACCGTCCGCCTTGTCCACTTTACTCTGCGAGAGTATCTGTTCAATAATCTAACCCTATTCAATAATCTACCCCTATTTGAAAGTCCCCACTCCATGATGGCGGAGATTTGCTTGACTTACCTCAATTCCCCGAGTATCCGGAAACTTCCGTCATCTATCCCCGATGCCACGTCAAAAGCCCCGCTTGTAAAATACGCTTCCTGCTACTGGGAGAGACATGCAAGAAAGGGGATGACAGAGAGAGTGGAGTCACTTGTTTTGAGGCTGCTGGATGGGTTCGACCAGCATATATCCTCTAAGATACTACTGAGGTCTGGGGCTTGTCCTATAGAATTGCGGATGTGCTCTCTCGATCCGGAACATGATAGGTTTAAGGGGTTTACATTTCTCCACTGGACAGCGTCCCTTGGGATGCTGTCAATGACGATTGCGTTATTGAAAATGAAGAAATGGGATTTGAATGCGACTGACGCTACGGGTAAGACAGCAATTGCATGGGCAGCTGGAGGGCGGCATACGGATATCCTGGGGGTGCTATTGGAGCAAGGAAGTATCGATCCCAACATTGCGGATAAGAATGGCCGAACACCCCTCTCGTGGGCTGCTTGGCAGGGGGACAAGGGAGCAGTCGAACTACTGCTAGAACTAAGGGATATCGATCTTGACCCCGTACATCACGATGGCCGAACACCACTCTTGTGGGCTGTCTCAGGAGGGCACGTTGAAGTTGTGAAGCTACTCCTAGAACGTAAGGATGCGGATTTTAGCTTAATTGCTAGAGATAGCGTGCCCGTGGCTGCCTCGACCAAGCCTTCGGCTTTGCTTCGACCCCTCCCAGAGTGGATCCGGCAGTTTTGGTTTTTGCTTCCCGAGTCTAGCGCCCCTGGCGCCTACACTAGGTTAATCCTCCAGATCCTGATTGACTGTTTGGTCATTCTCGTTTTGCTTTGTCTTTTGGCTTTTCTCCGGTGGATCGTTCCTTCATTGTCAATGATTCCGTTATCGTTTCGTCGATGACCATGTCGGGAATGGGTGGGGGTGAATGTTGATGGATCGAGATACGGTACGAGTCCACCACAGATGGGGGAGCAGGTTGTTGACGCTTGAGGTTTTCGCAGATGAGGGGTGCGCAGCAACGGGGGCGTGTCCGGCTACCGGCGCGGTGCTGGTTGGAGGTACTCTGGCATGATTGTATTCTAGATGGGAAGTTTTAGGGAACCAGAGTATTGTTTTTGCCCTTCCCTCCTCCCCTTTTGGCGCTGTGAATTCCGGGGGACACTCTCCGCGCTTACTTTCATTTGTTATGTGTCAAAATTTCACGGGGAAGCACAAAATCTCCTAGCAGGCAGGGAATAGACCTTGGATTTGGATTGCATATGTTTTGATGTTTTTTTTTTTACTCCTGCATTTTCCTATCGTGTTTCTCGGTTTAAATGCGAACGAAGTTACATTCAACCACGATAATTATTTTCTCTCTCTTCCCGATTAGATTGTTCTATCTTATTTACATTAATCCACTGCGCACCATTGAGAATATAGAGGCGAGTTGTGGGCGTGAACCACGGGGGGATTGTTGCTGATTTACGCAGAACAGTCAGAAAATATTATTTTCCTTCCCCTTTCTCCTTCCGTACTTGTGGACCCCTTTGTACTCGTACTGGTACGGTACGATACCCCGGCTATTGTCAGGTTATAGCGCTCTTACATGGCCACTAGCTCTCACCGCTAGAGCCTCGGAATGGGCATAGGGGAGCACGATCCAATGGGTATGGTGGTGCCCGTAATTTGACTATTGGATACGAACGAGTATTAAAGGTGGGAGAGTAGCAAGTGCAGAGCTGATAAGGGATTCTACGAGAATCTGGGAGTGGATAAGACATGCACTAAGTGAGTAGCAGGGTTCTCTGGAAGACGGAGCAAGTATCGCTAATGACAATGAACGTTCGTTCGCCAGTAGTCAATTGACTGCGCAATCAAGCTGGCCGGAGACATCCCTCCTGTGGAGGGTGTAATGTACCGTAGCTTCCGCGCCCAGCAGGAATAAACTACCAAGGTGATAGCAGCTATCCTAAAGCAGCACCCGATAGTTAAAAGTCAGTGAAATTCCGATATCTGTACCCGGAGGTACTTCCAAAGGCAAATAATCCTTGTGACAATAGGGATGTCTGTCACCTCTGAATGCTCTAGGATTGTGGAAGTGGGCAATCGCCTCGCTACCCCAAGTTTCCATCTAAAGTTTCCATCTAATCGATGCTCTCGACGAATACATTCTGAAGAATCTCCCAGCACTTCTCGCGCCGTTGGGGTAGATTGCTCTAAAGATACGGTCAGCGGCCTCATACCGAAGGGCCAAATCGCAAGATATAATATATATCACGATGGCGGTCGCGGTAAAGTACCCATCAGTCCTAAACTACATATTCACTAAAAGCACCCGGAGGGGAAGTTGGAGATGGGCACGGATCCGGACGTGAGAGGTGATGCCATACAAGCGGGCATTCCGGGAATCGTCCGGCAAATGATATCTGAGGGGTGCATTGAAGATTTGGCCCTTTGTAAATGCCTACATTACACGATTATATGTCTTCTAACTATGGTGCGCGGATTCCTCCTTTTTAGTTGAACATTGATGCCATCTGGCAGGGGTAACTATCTCTGGCACAAGACAAAAAATTTGAAGATCGCCAGAGGCTAATGAATGACCTGGAAGCGGCGTACATAGAAATCCTGACGGGAATGAGGGTGCAGAAGGGTATATATACCAGACCCAGAGTTGGAATGGAAGCCCTAATGTAGTTGTCGAGTGATCCTAGAGTGACCCCTCAACTAGCCCGGTCTATCATACCTAACTTCCCTTTCAGTCCATATTTTGCCTTCCGCCTGAGCCTGAACCCCCCACTTGATTACCCCTCGAGATAGCCATCGGTTCCTGTATCATCACTACCTCTTTTATTTGTCTTTTGTAAGATCTTTTCCTGCATCAGCCCCTCCGTACCAACGCTTTTTCAATCATTCCATGCATGGTCACGACGTACGCAGTGGTGGGGAAGGAACTCTCCAGATCTAGATTTCCAAGACGAACTGGAAATGGGTAGCTTTATTCGGATGGGGCGGGGCGGGTAATTCACGTCGCGTAATTGATCGAATTTTTCCGGCTTTCCCTCTATCGTTTGCTGGTAAGTCTCGTCTCTAACCTGTATGATACATCTTCAAGTAAATCATCGTATCGTTAGACCACATGCTTTTCTTTTCCTTTCTACCCTCTCTTCTCGACTAATCACCCCCACGCACTAGAAATGTATCGTGACCAAACTATGTTAACCTCACCCACTTCCTCTTGTGTTCCCTAGCTATCCGCTATTCGGGATATTGTACACCAAAGATGATTCTCGATACGAACCAGCAGCTCGATAGAAAATCGCATGTCTCCCTCACTAACCACCCATGCCCCTCTCATACCTTATATAAACCTGCGAAGGCTGAGCTCTTCTTTATCGATGTACTAGCGGTCACCGCATGTATCGCATCATATCCGGGAAGCTGGGAGATGCGCAATGGTCGATCGGCAGTCCGGGCCGAGGACGTCGAACAGAGAATATTTGTAAGCCCGGACGATTGCTGCATCGAGCTGCTACCCCCCCCAGTCTCCATGTTATGACAATACGGTAGCAATCCTATTCCACCGGCATGATCCCCTTCCGTAAGCCCCCCATACTAACCCACCCAGCGGAACCAACTTCACCTCTAACCTAACTGAACCCTAATCACCACCTCGTAACTCTTTTCTTGAACCACAGAGCGCACACGATGACTTTTTGATCGCTCGAGATCCCACGCGTAATCCCGAGGCCGCGCGGTTGGCTTGGAAGCTGGGTTTTCCGCTGTTCGCTGTCGCAGTGGGGATGCGCTCCTCGTGGGAGATATGGTGGCACTTCCTTTGCGGTGCTGGGAGTGTTACAGCGAAATTTTGCGAAGGCGTTGGATCGGGGGCTGGTTTGGTGGGTTATTGACATGTTTGTTAGGTGAGGTTGAGGCTAGACCGGAAGGAGTGATTGTGCTGTCCGAGGAAGAGAGAGAGGTATGAAGGGTGTGCGTCTGGGGGGGTTAATGCGAGTATTTTAGTGCTGGTTGGTTCGTCGGGATGGGCGGAGGAAGAGCTGGAGTGGAGTGAGGTGGGGAGGGTGTGCCTGTACTCGAGTGCTCATACGGTACGAGAAAGGGGGTATGGTTCTGGACGTCTTAACTGTACACCTCAGAATTTGTGACGGGGGACGGCTTGGCAAAAGAAAAATGTATGTATGTTCAATTCCCAGCAAGGTTAGAGTTTTTTATTAATTGTCAAGCCACATGAGGTATTAGGGAGAGTAATTTTAGAGAAAATGATAACACATCATTGGCAGAAAAGAAGTGATTGTAAATCTAAAGAAAATAAATATTTATATAATATACCATGATAATAATATTATGATCTATTGATATTTTATATAATGATATGTGGCTTGAACATATTAAAAATAACTATGTTAAGTCTAGGACTTGAACATCTGTTCACTTTTTGAACTTGTGGCTGAATGCCAAGCCGTCCCCCGTCACAAATTCTGAGGTGTACAGTACACTTAAGACGTCCAGAACCATATCATAGAAGGAGGGGGTGTGGCTGACAGATTACCGTACCTGTGGCGTTGTGTTGGTGTAACGTAAAATGGACAGCAGCTACGGGTACCGTACTGCTCGTACAATGGTATTGTGAGATTTTGTGATACCAATCAGGACAGGTTGGTTCTCAAGGGATGGCACGCGGGGTCTAAGCCAAAGTGAGAGAACTTTCGCTGTTGCACAGTGGGTGGGTTTCTATCCTCTTTTTAAATACACTTTTGTTCCCGAGAATTATTCGGGAAACTCTTTTTCTTGTCGTTCCACCCGCACGGGAGGGCATCATGTGCCAGACTCCTCATTGTGTTGATTAGTCATCTGTCAGGAACATCGCGGTGTCGAGTCAGGAGGTGGCCCGGAGGACAGAGGTACGGTAGTCCAACCGGCACATACCGGTATGAGCATTATCCCGACTGTGCTCAGCGCCTCTGCGTCACGGCGGTTCACAGTACAGCACCTGGCCTGCGGTAGGCCGGGACTGCGTTTTGGAGATCTGCTTAGCGAGCTGTAATACGGTAGGTGAGTCTCCTGAACCCCGGGCCGATGCTGATAAACCTAATGTTCAAACAATTAAGCTTCACCGCCACCATCCCATCGTCAGCTCTCCCACAACTAGCAATCGCAATGCCGACAAAAACTTGCGCGGGGGCCTCCCAGCAGTCGACATTCCCGGGCCGACAACCCCTCGACCCTAACCTCCCCGACGCCCTCGGCCGAACGCCCCTTCACTGGGCCGTCTGTAACAACAACATAGAAGTAACGAGACTACTCCTGCGCCGGAAAGACCTCGACCCGAACCGACAGGACGAGCAGGGCTCATCCCCACTCTCCCTGGCCGCGCGAAAGGACTACCGCGAGATCGTCGAATGCCTCCTGGGCCGCGAGGACCTCGTTCCCGACCTTCCTGACGAAGTCGGCCAAACGCCACTCTTCTGGGTCGCCATACGCGGAGGCGAGGAGATAGCGAGGCTCCTACTCTCACGGAAAGATGTCGACTTCAACGCTCTCAGCCTCATCGGTCAAGCGGCTATCTCCTGCGCGGCCAAGTACCGCAATTCCGGCATCGTCAAGATGCTGCTGGAGATGGAGGGGATAAAGGCAGACTTGCCGGATAGATATGGGATGACGCCGTTGGCTTGGGCGTGTCAGATTGGGGATAAGGAGACAGTGGGGTTGCTGCTGGAGCGGGATGATGTGGACCCTGATTCGGTGGGGTATCGCTGTACGAGGCCGTTGGCCTGGGCTGCTATGAATGGGCAGGAGGAAGTTGTTAGGATGCTTCTGGGGACTGGGATGGTCGACCCGGGGTGGGTGGATCTTTCTGGTCGCGCGGCAATCCATTGGGCGACGCAATTTGCGTATTTCGGTGTGATAAAATTATTGGAGCGATACCGCACCAAGACGAGAGAGGCGCCGATGGGGTGCGATCCTAGGTAGCGTCAGGTATGCTTGGCTGGTTTTGTTTCCCGCCCTCCCCGCAGGGCAGGTGCGGGTAGCGAGGTCAGTTTTAGTGTTCCGACCTAATACTTTTTAATCACAAAGCACCCTCCCAACGCTATAACTGGCAACGCTGCACTTCACATTCTCGGTGACCCACCATACCTGAAGATCTCTAGAATGAAATCACCACTCTTGAGTTCTAATCCTACGCTTGCCAATAGTTAGCATGGCTGAACCCCCATCCCTAACTTATGCCTCTATCGGGACCTCATGCCCCTGCTCCTTCCTAAATCCTAGGCGCTAAGTTAAATATATATATCTCCCGGGCCAAATACAGCTGATAGGCTTTCCGGTGGTTAGTATTGGTAGCACCGGCCACCGCTCATTCCGCCATGCGAGATCCAAGCCCTAATCAACCAACATCTATCCGGGTGCCCTTGGAGACCCCGTCACACTGCAAACACCCCACCTCCCCCCCGATCTTCATGAGCAAACCCTGACCCTAGCCCTGTGCCCCATAACTACGGCAGCTACCGCTCCAGCCAGTGTCTACAGATTCTTGTTTTCGATTCGACAGTTGTGATGCACGCCACACCTATCACCTCCGGCCCATCGCGTAAACCTACCCGCAATTCAAATATTTTGCACCGGGACTTCCGAAAATGGCTGTAACTCAACACCGTCCCCGCACGGCCGGCGGGCAGTGAAGGACTCCTATGTGATCGCGTACGGCTTTGTAACCGCCATTGGGTGGTTTCCCCCACACAGGCTTCCGCGACCGAGGGAGGGGTAGAACAGACGTGGCCGCGTTCAGTTTTTTACTAGAGAGATCGAGAATATTGGTTTCACTCTGTTGGTCGTGTACCGGTAATTGCACGCCGCACCGAACACCCACCCTCAAGATTCATCGTGAAATTATCTCGCCTCTCGCTCGAGCCTGGGATTTGAGGTCTTTGTAAGGACCAACTCGCCACCGGGCCAGGGTATATATCATGCAAATCGGCTTATGGGCATGGCCCAACGGCATTTTCAGCAGCTGGTGGAGATTTGTATACGTGCAGTTATCCCGATGATTCTCTATTGTCAACCGCAGAATTGTCGAAGGTTGCTTTTTTGACTTGCGACGGGATTGAAGGGGGCACTCTGTTTGTTCTTACTGGGGGATATCATGGCTCTCTAGAACACGGCAAATGATGGGTAATAGTAAGTAGATAAGAGGCAGTATCTCACAGGAGCCGGTGATGACACAACGGCCCTCTTTCATTCCTGTAGGGGCAGACAACCATCAAAAAAAACCCCGGTCGGGATTTGTGTGGCGAGGGCGAGGCAGGGAAGGGAGGGCATAATATAATGAAAGCGAGAACTATATAAGGTGAAAGAAGGGGGAAGAAGGGACACTGATATTTCAAGAAAGGAAAATTGAAGCTGTACGATAAGTTGAGAATCGCATTCCCACGGTGGAAAGTCTCTTATTCCGCAACACTGGATAGAACCATAAACCCGGACTTTCCCCATCCAGCTTTCCACATAAAATTTCTACAAGATGCGAGTGATTATCTGTGATGCACCCAACGCCGGAGCAAGACCGGGTCCCACATGCCGGCCACGAGCTCCTTGGACGTATCAACTACGTAAGCCTATCCTAGCTGCCCTGCCCGACCATAATATTTGCCCCCTCTCGGGCCCTCTATCACTGGGAGTTGAGAAGGGGGAGGTACGGTAGATTTTTTCTCCACGTAGGATTAGAAAATTATTTCGACGGAAGCAGGCGGTTCTAGGATTTTATAGAGAATCCGGGCGTTTTGCTGGAACCTGCTTGGGGGGGGGGGTTGGCCCGGTTTTGTTTCCAGATTCGTTTATACACTCCGTTCCGAGCTCTTTGGTGGCTGTCGATTTGCCCTCCTGATTGGAGTGGCCTCTGGGTGTGTGATGGGGTGGTGGGTTACTTGGTTTCCTTTTGCTCGGACTTGCATTTGGTGGGCGTTGCATCCTCATACGCCATTTCTAACCGGAGCGCGTGCAGTCCTGTGTTTTCACCTTCATTTCCAACGGGCTCCTTCCTCTTGGACCCGTATTGTTTGAGGGGTCACAATACGTGATAGGCTAGAATTCTCAGGGTCTTTGTGAGTGTTGGAGGCTTCGTTGGTTTCTTTCTACTCTTTTTCTTTTGCCTATCTTTTCCGACTGGCATGAGCGGCTGGGCGTGTTTCAATTGCGGAGACTGCTCTTTCCACGATTCGCCCTTTTCCAAGGCATCGCTTGCTTAGTGGTGTTCTGTGGATCTTGTTGGATCCTCGGGGGAGGGAAAAATATTGAAATTCGCAGCCGTTCTTAACACCCTGAATCTCCGCTACACGCCTGGGGTCCGGTACGAGATGTACTACGCAAAGAAATAACATGGTCTTAGGGTGTGCTAGATACCCCACCTTTTCCTTTTTCGTTCTGCCTAAAAATAATGGACCGTCTTAAATATCCGAAATGGGTAGAAGCAAGAAAGAGAGCGGGGAGAGTCCGGAAGCACAGGTGGTGACTATGGATTGAAGGACACTCCTCCCGAGCCCTTCGTATCATAGACTCTTGATGCAGCCGGCGCAAACATTCGAAACGGAGGGAAAAGTAAACTTGCAAAGATCTGATGTGGAAAATCTAATTTGATAAGCCGAATTTCTCCCCGCCCAGACTATCCGGACCCTTCTGGTGTTATGGTATCTCACATGTCACACTAGATCTGTTGAGCCCCTTATCCGGCGATCCGAGTTGCAGAAGGAAGCTCTCGTATGAGAACCCGGAATCTTGACCGTGTGATGGGAGTATTGGGAGTGAAAAAGAATGTACATACCTGGAAGACTTAGGCACGACGGGCCACGGAGTAGACGGGACATGAATCCAAGCGCCCTGCATGATTGGGTGACTCGGTGAATCTGCCGCCCCCACTCGCAGTCCCAGGTAGGCTTCCGTATTGCTCAACAGAGTCACACCCCGCCCCCGTTG